GCTAGCGCTCCAATGCAGCTAAAGCTTCCCTACATGACATCAAACTTGCAGTTATGGCTGGTGTCTGAGCTGCACTTCAAACTGCTGGACCACAGGGACCACCCATATTGTTTTTAKCAACACATTTTGAATTTAGATTTTAAATATTACCTTCAGCAGTGTTAGCATCAGATAACCAGCACGTCATCATCCTGTGACAAACATCATAAATGGCTGCTGCTATAGCCACCACTGCTGCTAACTTGGTGCCCCATAATGTGCGACCAAGCAGTTGTAGGAATAAACAACACTTTATTATTCAGGARGGTTGGATGACGCACAACAACTTTGTATTTAGTTTAATAAAATRACCATGGAGAGAATCACTAAACTGAATTAATGTTGTTTAATGTGAAGTGCTCCGCATAGAAGCAGCTAAGTTCTGGTCCACTCCTCTTAGTTCTACAAAGCTTGTTTTACTTCTGAAATTTCACGTCTGTGCAAGATGTAGCTGGTTCTGATTTATGAACGGCAGAGCAGTAGGATTTTGGAAGAAAGTGTCARCACTTTAAGCCACTCCCACGCCACTTACAAAATATACAGAAGTTTATGAATTTTWGGGTAAAAAAGAAAAACTGGCGATCCGAAGATTGGCAGGTATTTATGGCAAACAAAGACAATTGTTTGTAAAAAGTGACATTGATTCTACACTGCAACAACCACTGCACAACAAAAAGTTATGGTAATATGTTCAAACAACAGACCATTGTTTGTTCCTAAAACCAACATGACAAGCAATATGCAACTGATTAAAAGCATCATTCAGAAAATGTCTGCGTTTCTCGTGGAGTTAGCATGTGGAAATGTTAAACTTCAGTGCATGCCACATCTGTTTCCAAACAGGAACTTCTTTGAGCAGACGGACACACACTCGGAACAAAACGCTTAACATCCACTAAGGGTTTTCTAATTGCTGTGCACGTTTCTCCCTTTTGTTTTGGCAAAGATGCTGTCCTTTTAATTCTTTCATGAATGTGGCCTCTAACACTTTAAGCAAAATGGCAAAGACTTTTTTTGACAAGCCTATGGAGCAAACTTGGACAAAAACCTACATTTATATATAAATGTCTGGAAAAAGGCTGATGAATTATGAGCTTGGATGCARAAACAATGTCAATTAGAAGTGCTTTGGTCAACTTTTACAGGTTTCCTTATTTTTACAAAAATATTAAATTAATGCTTTCACACAGTTTTATGCTCTCTTCTTTTTTATTTTTTTAGGAAGACTGCACTTTTTTAACAATTCTTGTTTGGAAGCCCTTTTTCCTAAAAATATCCAGATAAGCAGTGAAAAAGCTYAAGGCGTGTACATCTGTGCGTGCGGAGTAGTAGCCCATGCCTGTCTGGAAACACGGAGCTGTGGAGCAGGGATCGTGCCTGAGTTCGCAGCAGCAGCGAGCGGCTCTCTGTGCGCTTCGATCCGAGCCCGACAGGGTTAAATTAATCTCTC